GGATTGGAGAACCATCTGTCTGGAATGGTATAGGGCAGTGATGGCAAACCTTTTTGTCCTCACGTGTCGAAATTGTGCGCATGCACACAATAGCCTCACGCCCACAATGCCATGCGCCACACCCACCTGCACATGCAACCACCAGCCCTGCGCATGCACACGTGACCACTCCCACCCCCACACATGGAAACAAACGTCCAGGTTGCCCACCTGGAGGCTTTCCTGAAGCCTGGGGAAGGTGAAAACGGCCTCCACCGTCCCCCCCTGGGATGCCAGAAACAAATCATTTCCAAACTTCCAGTTGGTCCGTTGGACCCATTTCTCACCCTCCCAAGACTCCGGAGGCTTTCTTGAAACCTGGGGAAGGGGAAAACAGCCTCCCTTGGCCCTCCGGAAGGCAGAATAAAACAGCCTCCCTTGGCCCTCTGGAAGGCGGAATATCAGCTACCAGCACACATATGCACGTTGGAGCTGATGGCTTGCGTGCAGGCAGATATGACTCCGCATGCCACCTGTGGCTCAAGCAGGGGTTGGACTAGAAGACCTCTAAGGTCCCTTCCAACTCTGTTATTCTGTTAAAAGACTTTTCTCCTTGTGTGATAAAGAGGGGAAGGGGAAATCCACTTTCTCTCCCTTGGAGGGATGGGAGGTAGATTATCATTGTGTCTCAGGAGAGGAATCCTGGACCCTTTTCATTCATACCCGTTCCCTCTGGGTCTCTTTCAGGGCTTCACATCTGGCAGGTGAATTTGGGCTGTGAGCTCAAAGAAGACGGGAGCAAAGGAGGGTTTTTGCATTATGGTTATGATGGGAAGGACTTCATCAGCTTCGATATGGAGACCCTCAGATGGGTGATAGCTCAGCCCCAGGCTGAAAAGATCAAGGAGAAGTGGGAAGATCATCCAGGGTGGTCCCAGAGGAAAAAAATCTTCCTGGAGAAGACCTGCATTGAGTGGCTGCAGAGATACCAGTCCTACCAGAAGGAGGCTCTGCAGAGGCTCGGTGAGTGACCAAAGGGGGTCTCCATTGAGCAGATTTCTGTGGACTCCCCTCCCCATAATATTTCTGTTCTACATAGCCAAGCCATCTTTTAAAGCCTTCTCAGAAAATGGTCTGGAAATATGACACATCCCATTACAAAAGAATCTTCAATGACCCCCAAAATAAGTTCTTCAAAAATTAATAAACTAACTGAGCAAGCCATTAATGCTGCGAGATCCAGCTTGATTTCCCAGAGGAAATCCTGCAAAGCAGAAGACACTCATTCTAACATCTTGTGTTTGGGGCTGAACCAAAAGATGAGGCTGTTCCTGATTTCCCTCTGAAACAACGTGAACACATTCACATTTGGGGGGAGGCAAAAAATTGTCTCAAGCCCCAAGCAGTACAATTATTTTGAAGTGGCACCTTTACCCAAATTCTGAGCATTCCTTTCAAAAATAAANGTGAGGGGAGCTCTAGGTTGGGTCTCTCTCCCCGTTTTCCTTCCCTCTCAAACCCATTGCCCAGAAGGAAACCTCGTAACAATTGATACAATTAATCAGTGGAACGACTTGACTCCAGAACTTGCGAGTGTTCAAACACTGGAGCTTTGTAAGAAGAGATTGGACAACCATTTGTCTGGAATGGTAGAGGTCTCCTGCTGGAATAGGGGGTTGGACTAGAAGACCTCCAAGGTCCCTTGCAACTCTGTTATGTTCTGCCTTCTTTACCCCAGGTTTAATCTTTTTTTTTTAGTATTTCATTTGTAATCCGTTTGTATTTCTGAGAAAAAGCTAAAGCAAAAAGAGTAGTTCAGAGTTCAGCTCTGTCTGCTTCCTCCTTGTCCTCGGCCTCCTGTTCTCTCACCTGCCCCGGGGGAAAAAGGGCGCAGCTACCTGAAACAGTCCTGGAGGAAAACAACCCTGACTGCCTTTGGAAGGACAGATCCTGAAGCTCAAATCCTTTGACCACCTAATGAGAACAGAAGATCCCTAGAAGAAGACCCTGGTGTTGGGAAAGATTGGGGACAAGAGGAGAAGGGGAATGCCAGAGGAGGAGAAGGGTAGATGGCAGTGACGTGCGGTGAGGTTTATGGCTGGTGAGGCACTGATGTCTGAGCATTCTCTCATCTCCCCCGACACCCCACTGACTAAAGGACTTTCTTTCACCCACCTGTGCTGCGGCAGAGCTCAGGCGAGCGAAAGAAAGTGCTTTAGTCAGTGAAGCACTTTCTTTCACCTGCCTGAGCCTAAATCACTTTCTTTCACCCACCTGAGTTCTGCCACGGGCAAAAGAAAGTGCTTTAGTCAGTGTTGCAGGAGAGGAGAGAATGCCTAAACATTGCATTTATTAAAGAAAAAAGAAAAAAAAGGAAATTTGAAGGAAAAGAGGGACCGTGGGGTGGGGGCATCAGAAAGGGAGAAAGAGAAGGAAGAGTGAGCGCGACGCTGCAGCTTTAAACAGAATGACAGAGTTGAAGCCTCTAAAAATGTGCCCTCTACTATGAGGGAGGAGAACTGCTTCCTCAACTACCTCGGGATTTTTAGGCTTTTAACCCTCGCTTAACTTTGCTCCAGCGCCTAAAAATTCAGACTAGATGAGGCATGCAGTTCTCCTGCACTTTTTTAGAGGCTTTTTTAAACAGGCAAGTCATTCACGGTGAAGCAGCAGCTAGTTAGCCTAACCTCAGTACTTGTCTTTTCCCATTTACATTTTTTTCCTTTTCATGATTGACAGTGGTGAGGCCTCCCCTGGCTCTCCTGACTGCACGTCACTGGTAGATGGTGCCATCTACACAATGAACAGGAGTTTGGACCAAGTCCAGGAGACAGCAGAGGACAGGAGAGGGGCTGGCATGCTATGATCCATGGGGTTGCAAAGAGTTGGACACAACTTTGACTGAACAACAAAGTGGCCTGGAAAATCCTGAGGTCCTCCCCTCTGGGCAGGAGCCGATTCTCCAACTTATTTTTTCAATT